TGCCGACTGCAAGGTTTCCCGCATTTATTATAAGTAACCTTAACCCATCCTGGTAAAAACGCAGTCATTGAAGTAGTGAAAAATATAATCCTACAGATTCCTCTGCTTGGTCGTCCCCTCTCGCGCTAACAGTGTTCAAGTCGAGGCTTCAGATGAGCAGTATGCTCAACTTCCTCGAAACGACGCCATTTGACTGCATCTTATTACATCCGCATTATCCTCCTCCTCACCATAGCATCACCGCTGAGTAGGATCGAAGGTCTTTCGTCGTGCGGAACTTTTGGAAAGCATCTTTTGCATGCGTTAATGGGAGCACGCGTGATACACAGAACCGTACTCGTGCATGGAACTGTTCTTCATTTTCTACTGACCGACCCTCTAAATGCCAAAAAACCTGTTCTGGTATCAACCCTTTCATATTAGTTACTGGTGGTCTTTATGGTAACAAGGCATCCATAACTAATCCCGGGTACCGACATGCAAACGCCGATCAAAAATGCAGAGCTTTGTTCCCACGGGGAATCGAACCATGAGTCAAGCTTTTGTCCTTTTTTTTGGAGTTCAGAGCTGCTCAGTAAAAATGAAGAAACAGTTCCATGTTCATGCACGTGCTTCTTCATGATGCTGAAACCGTTTTGAAAAACGGGGCATGACTTTGAGGGTCTTCTTACGTGGCAAGGAAAACGAGAATTGTTTCATCCTTGCCACCGCAGGCGTTTAAGGCAGTTTATGCGAAAATTGTGAGAGCAGAACTTTACCGATAGCGACTCCTCCAGAAAGCGTCGAACTTTGAATGTGAATCATATTGAATCGTCCAAGATTATCGACGAAGGAGCTCAGTATGAACGTCGTCACTGTGCCACTTGCCATTGCAAGATATGTGTTCATAATTGCTCGATGCCGTGCGTCCTCTGAAAGCAGGGTATTTTTAGTCATCACATCAACTATAATAAATTGCAGATATAATCTCTGTGCGGGCAGAGAAGAAAATTTTTGTCCACAATGGTTCCACGTGCGCGGTTTGGATATCAAATCTGGATCGGATCTCGTCCAGGACAAACGACCCATTATTGGTCAATTGGTGCTAGAAACGTCTGAAGGGATGAGAACCCTGAATTCTTCATCGCCTGCCACCCCCCCCCACCCCTCCCTCCTCCTTTCCCCATGTAGGCTACGTCGCATTCCAATGATAGTACGATGAACAGAAGAGGAATGCGTGGCACATCAAAAACAGATAAATTAGCGCAGAAGGTTAATCCTACCTCACTTAGACGTCCACAATTTGACGACTGTTTGAAGTTCACTGCTCACAATGAATAAGACACAAGCCAATCTTTTACCGAACACCCAAATTTTCGTCTAAACCTCAAGGGTATGTAACCAGTACCTCTGAGAAAAAAACCCGCGAATTCGGAGAGGCATACCTCAACATTTTTCCTGATAACCTCGTGAAATGCGCCAAACAGGTGAAAAGGTGCAAGGAGGTTATCGCTCATTATGACGCCTTACTAGCTGAACAAAGAAAACGCAGGCCTAGCCTCTACCTCCTTTATCTCCCACTTCTCTTCATCCTTTTGGGTTTTCGTCCTTAGACCCACTTCTGGATGAGCCCTCTCCTCCGTAAGCTCCTACAATGCTCAAGGCTAGCCTATTTAAGCCCACTACCAACAATTATCGTACAATGTGCCACTTGATTATTCCAACTCACCAGGCTCCTGAACGGCAGCGTTGAAGGACGGGAAGAACACCCAAAGGAGGAGAGTACCTGAATACAGTTCCGAGCTCAACAGTTTCCTCAAACAGAACAAAAAATATTGCGAAGCTTACAAAACAACATTCAAGAAAAAATCATTGAATAATTTGAAGCTGCCCTAGATTTTTACCGATCATTGAGAATAAGTCTGAATGGTGAATGGAGCCCTGTTCGTCCATTTCCATGACATTTTTCTTCTTTCCGACCAATGCTGCCGCTAAACCGAAGTACGGCCCCAAAGGCATGCACGACAAGCGAACGGCCTCCATCGTTTACCTATTTGAATATATTTATCAGAAATTTGTATGATTTCGATCCAACTTTCATTTGCCTAATCTTCGAGTAATAAACATACGATAATTGGCATAATTCGAAATTCTAGGTGGTAAGGCGAGGAGAACTCATAATAACTTACATGTAGGATATTGACGATAACATGATCAACAAGGACTGCTAAACTGGTCTCAAAAAACGCTAGTAGTAGGAACTGTACTGGAGTCATACGACCAAGCAGCACTCCCATGGTGATCAGTACTACTGCACATGATTGTCGCGAACATATCACTAAACAGAAAAACATCAAAGACCTAACAGGAGTTGATCACGACGCTGGACATACGGTGGGATTTTGGATGACGTACTGAACGTATTGTCGAGTTAGACCCTCTCATGGTTGAGTCATCGCTAACACCTCCACACCTATAGATAATAACAGTCGGAAATCCTCGACGTGGCACTGCCCTGCGTGAGAATAGTATCGAGAGTGAATCTACACGCGGAGAGCACAGACGGCTCGCGCGTGAAGAAAGTGAGTGTCCGCGCGGGAGAGCCTGACTGAACGGGCAAAAATCCTCTAAAAGTCGTTGTCCGATTTCCTCTCCCTCCATCAAAACCGCCAGCCATCGTGATACTCTGGTTCAGAAGAAGAATCGGTAGTCAAACTTTTTTGGAGCTTTCTTTTTCAATTAACAACAAATAAATAGTAAATGAATAAAAGTCGAGTTCCTACGAATAAAGGAACTGACTCTGGCACTCCAAGCGTAAACGTGCGCGTTTCTTGAAATTGCTTTGAGAGGAATCCTCGTAGAAGCATAGCCCACTGTATAACGAAAGCCGACAGTAACAAATTCACAGAAACTGCGGAGAAACCGTATCTCTAAATGACGAAGCATTAATTTTAGAAGTGTTTTCTTGAGTGTTCACAACAGAACAATAATTTCATCGAGTAAAAAAATATAAATAAAAAAGTACAAATCAATCAAAAAAAAAAGAATAGGTATTTGCTCCTATGCATTCTCTTCCTAGCATGTGCCGAGCAATCTACTTCATTCAGAATCGTCGTAGTATTTGAATGCGGTTTGCCGTATGAAGTGATTTGCGTTGATTAGCCCTATGTCAGGCAAGTCTAGTTATAGTTAAAGGAAGCGATTACGATAAAGAGGGAGCGCATCGGGAAGCATATGCACCACACGAAGCAGTTACTTGGCTGCCAAGGAAGCGAGGTGTGGCGCTTTCACAACGAAAGGTGCGCTGGTTGCTGAGCAGGACTTCGAAAGCACTCCGCCCCAAAAGCGATCCGCCCACTAGTTTACTTGTTGATTTGGACGAGCTGCGTTGCCAGCAGCGGCGCAAATGGAGCATCTCGATTAAAGCGTGTTTGGCATGGTGCCATCAAACGCGTTGCGGTGAACTCGTTCATACTCCACTTTCTGAGCTGTTACCTGTTCATGAGTGAAAACCAACGGCCAAAAAAGGGGTCCCGTTTTTTCTTGACGGATTTTCTGCTTTTTTCGCCACTGGCGTACCATTGAGCACCACCACGTCTCCTTTGAACCACTTGAATTTATCGTAATCGCTGCCTTTAAGTGGCCCTGAGGGATGGAGGGTCCTGGTTGGCTCAAGGAGATTAGATCCTAGATTTGACCCACAAACTGCGTGCGTGGTCAGCGGTCCCACTTGCACGTACACCACCTACACGCCTCAAGTATATCATAGAGCCAACGGTAAGTAAATTGTGATGCTTGTTCATCAAATTGCGCTGTATAAGCCGAATTAAATTACGAAACCATCCACAATAACAAATAATAATGACTGTTTTAATCAAAATCACTAGCACATGCGCTATAAGAGTAATTTGTAGTAAATATAAAAATGGGTGAAAAAATTGCACAAAATTCCGTAATAATAGTAGTAATAATGGATAATGAAGGGCCAGCACTAAGTCTGTGGGAGGAATCTGAGGAATTGGGCACACCAACGGGGATATTACCGGGTTCATAACTCTCCATAATGTATGTAGCAGCTTTTACTTGACGGCTACAGTATAAGAGCGTATGCTCACTGTGAAAAGTTGAGAGCAATTTGATTAGAGAAAACTAAAAACAAAGCAGGAGGGACAAATAGCAGAAAAGTAAATAAATAACAGAAACAGTCAGATAACTAATTGTGATTGTGAGCAACGAAATCATAGAAGTTCCTAGTAAGGCGCGTTGTCAGTGCGCCTCCTCCGCTCCAGCATTTCTGGCAGAATGTCAGGCAATTACTGCTCAATATTAATAGTTGAACTTATGAACATTCCGAAGGAAAATGTTTCTCGGCTTGTACAGAATGAAATATATATGTACCTACCTTCAGAAATGCCATGAGGAAGCCGAATCCGACAAAGATCATCAGATGTACGTCCTGGAACACTAAATTTTTCAAATTTCTTTTCGACTTTTTAGTCCATGGCTACCATAAACACTGTTCTATACTCATTTATATGATAATAGATTTTTTTTTACTAATATTTGGTAATTCGGGAATGGCATGAGCTTGCATTACT